TTAAATCAACATAGATTTTATTGCCGTGAAATGTTTGATCAAATGTGGTCATTATCTTCATAGACTCATGTAAAACAGGTAGCTTGTATAGGAAATAGAAATATAAAAGATTATGTTTTTCACCACTGAATTATAAATTAAATTAAGTGGAAGGCAAAAAACCAAATCAAAACTCCAAAGCAATAAATAGGACATTGTTTGTTGGTGACCAAGTGCGCACTCACATTTAAATACAATCACAACAGCTGCTGTACAGAAMAGAATTAATTGTACAAAATAAAGAAAAGTAAAGAATAGCAATAAAAAAGATCAGAYCTCTCCAAATGACCATCACCTGGCAAAGGAAAATGACTTTATCTTCCTCCCTTATTCCCCACACAGCTGTATGTGAATTCCTGTTAAACTTGCAATGAGGGCAGAGCCAAAGGATACTTTTATAAATACAGTTCCTGTATAATATATTGATTCTTCCTCGAGTTGCAGGCTTGTGTCTTCTATTAATGCTGTTTCTTCTTGTCCTTAGAAATAAAAAATCAGAGCAGCAGAACTCTTTCTCCAAAGGATAAATGAGAGTCAAATGACCTTGGAATTCACCAGCAGCCCTTTTGGATACCTAAGACATCTAAGACCAAAAWTGCTTGTTGGCATTCGGAAACAAACAAACAAACAAACAGAAAATAGCAGTTAGAGATTGTAAAGTTAAAACTGGGCTCTTAGGACAACAAAYAGCCCTTCTTGAGCCTGGCTGCAAAATTGTGAGCTGCGCCTGTGCCACTGAGTCACGTCCAAAGGAAGAGATGAACTGGGGAAATATTTACACAGAGGTCCAGGATTTGGAAGGACTATACATTGTGCCTGCTTTCTAGCAGATTTTTCTGGTTTTAGGAAAAGTTAAAGAGAAGCTTCAAAGAGCAGATTCCATGTTGRTTTGGAGAGCTGAAGTCTTTTCCCAACAACTGCTGGAGTTTATCTTTAAAAAGGAAGCAAATGAAAGGTCTAAATTCACCCCTTCTGCCAGTTCTCCAAGGCAACAGGATGGCACCTAGAAGGAGTTAGGGTTGAAGATGGCAGCACGAAGCACAAAGTTCTTGAGAGTCTTCAGCTGTAGGTGGCAGGGTCATCCCTGTCTGTCTGTGGCTGACTCCCCTGAAAAGGCCACGTGAACTCTGATCCAGTTCTCATCATCTGATAAATCTCTCCCTTTACTACATGTCTGTCATGTAATGGTATTAAAGGAGGGCTGTGTGAGCAGAGAGCCAAATTCTGGGGCAGAGGAGAGAATGTTACTCCATCTGTGCCAGACTCACCTTCTCAGCTCAGCCAGAACGTCAGCTGTTTGTACTCACAGTGAGTAACACCTTGCTCTAGGAAAATAAACTTGTAGTCAGTCAGTGTGATTGCTCCATGAGTAATTTGCTAATAAATCCAAGAGTCAGAAGCTGTGAGCCAAACCTCTCAGGGTTTAGGATAAGGAGAAAATTCAGGGATCTATTTAAAATATTTTGAGGTCGGTGGTGAGAAAGGTGTAATTCATACAGAGCTAAGCAGTGGAAGAACAACTGGATCCAGCTACTCAGACAGCACTTGGGCTAAAAATCAATTTTTGGGGTCCAATAATCAAAATGACTTATTATCCTGGCCATGAAAATTTACATACTTGTCTATTCCTTTGATGGTTTTTAAATTGGATAAACACTTTCATGGTCGATTAAAGGAAGACTTTTTTTTTCATTTTTTTTATCAGATAAATTTCCAAGTCAAAAAGGTACAAATATATTTGAATTTGGCACCAGTGAGCACCCACTAACTTCAAATCATGCACTTTCTTCAAGCTAATCTAGGCCATGAATGTGTTTTGAGATGGCAACATTTCCACAGAGASAAGAACTAAGAAAAGAATAAAAAAACCCAAAACCACAACATGGGAACATGGCATGTTCCCATGGACAGCGCAGGAATGTAAGTGGATGGKATCCTAGGCTGAGATTTTAACAGGAACATCAGTGAATTTATTGCTTAAAACCTCACTGAAAGTTGCAATTTCAGAAAACTAAAGATGTTTTGACACCAAACTGCTCTGATGTCTGGTTAAGCAGAAAAGGCAATGATAATTATTTTTCTCCCAATAAAAATACTAAGTACAATCAAAAATAAAAAAACAGAGAGCCTGTGAATGTCAACAAACTTACAGCCACATTTGAAAAAAGAATTTTGCTTTTAAAATGTGCTTATATGCTTAGGGAAAAACCAGAAAGTTTGGCATGGAAATACAAGCAACTTCTTAATTGTAAGAACATATAGCAGTTCAATCAGATTGAATCAGACCTGTATTGGACATTAACAAAAATATACAGARGTCATTAAGTCAAAAACTGGAAGTTCTGGGGTTGAAGTGTGCTCAGATTTATTAATAGATCAAAGGGTAATCCAGGCCAAAAATAATTTGTTGCCTGCAGAGCAGACACTCATAGATATTATGTAACAGCAAAAGATGCAAGTCTTGAAATAAGTTATTGTTGGGACTTCGGACTGGATCCCAAATAGGCAAATATTTCATATAAGGCTGTATACRTATTATTTCCAATATTAAACATTTTAGTTTGATGGTAATAAAATGATGCTTTCCCAACAGTTTCACAGATTATTCTGCCCTACTATTTATCTTTCCTGCTTGAAACAGTTGATATTTTAGTGGAGAAAACTGAAAACTATTTTAAAAATATTTTTCTTATCTTTTCCCGCCATCAAAATCTAATCTCAATTTATCCACATGTTGAAATAAAGGTTCACAAATAAATTTACCATTTTCATGTGGTAAATCTGCATATCTGACACAGTCAAAATTTTGATTATTCCCTTTCCTCTCCCTCAGTTTGGGCAATAGAAAAAGCAGAATGAATTTCCTATTCACTTTTAATCATGGTTACCTACTTTTGTACTCAAGTATTTCATGTTCTAGGACAGTTCCACAAGGTTTCTGCTGAAGACATCTCCGAGGCTCATTCATTCGATTTTAGCATTTCTCCAGAAGTACTGGTATAAATTCATTAGATTAATTTAATAAATTTTCTTTTTTTGGAGGCACTTATTTGATCTTAGTGTGTTAAGGAGATGGAGTCCMATGGAGATGCACCTGCTTTCCTCAGGGCAGGATGGTGCCAGCGTTGAAGTTATGCACTTAATCAAAGACAAGTCTGGGCAAAATCATAGGATTTYCCCCCCAGATTTCTTTAAATAAGCAAACAGGGATTCCTGACTTTCTAGAGTGTTTTGTCATGGTGATGACAGTGACCTTACTGACCTCGAGAGGAAACAGTATCAGGCCATCAGCACTTTGGGGCTGTCCATAATTTGAAAGATCAGGGTAACCTTGTTAATTCAATTTGATAGCTGGCACCTGGCTCTAAACACCCTCAGCTATTTGTCACAGTCCCTAGGTTTAGTCTAAACTGATCATCCAAGGTCTAGTACATGTTAACTGTTTTCAGAAAGTTGAAATGTGTGTGAGGGCTTTTGTCACCCAAAGTTATCCAGTGCTGTCTCTGGGATCCTCCAGCTGCTCCTCCAGGTGATCCAGTTCTCCTAAAKGTTTCACATCATTCCTGTCAAAATTCTGTGGCTGTCTTAGACACCTAAAACATCTCAAATGGCTCTAAACATTTACACATGGACAACTACATTAGTTCCTACCATAGAAAGTGTTGAATTGTCCCTTGGAAGAAAAGGTCTGGTTCTGCTGGTCTTAAATTGAGTTTGGATGGACAACACTAAGCCCCCAGTAATACCATTCCTTCCTGACTTTCTGAACAAAGTGATGTCAGAGAAACAAGGAAAAGAATGGAATAAGGGTCTTGTTGAAGAAGGAGTTGGAATGTGACYGGGAAAAGCCCCTTGACTCAAAAAGGCTTGAGCTCCAGCTATGCCTCCCATGTTTTCTGTGTGAGAACCTGTGGTAGGTGGTAAAGTAATATTTCARAAGTACATTAGCAAGGTTATTATCACTCAGCTGCTGTGGACTAACCCAATCTGTCTTATATCTCATTTTGTTTTTATTTTGTTTCCAGTGAGTGGATTCTGTTAGACCTCTGCACCTCAGCTGGATTTATAAAGACAAGAAAGCTGCAGAAACAAGCTGTTGAAGAAAAGAAAGCATCATAAAATCAAGGCAACACAAAAGGTGACTCCAATTGCCTGCATTGAACAGACACCCAGGGATGGCAGAGTGCTGTGGGACCAGGGGCTGAGAAAATAGAGGACAGAAGCCTGKGCTGTCATTTAAACTGAAGTTCACAGAAGGATCAGGGCTCTCACTGAAACTATCAAGGTTTGTTTTCACTTTAGTCTGCCAYGCTCTTTTCACAAGAGACACCATGGCTGCTGCTTGAATGGTCAGGACAGATTCCCAACAGGTTCTGACCTCATTCCAGTGCAGCTTTATTTACATTCCCATGTACAGAACGGTTCATTTGTCCCATGACCCAAGGATTCCTCTTTTGCCAGATTTCCATATTGTTTTCCCAGTGGTGAGTAGATCAGGCATTTCCAYGGAGCAGAGGAAGCCCTTCTTTCACTCTATCCAGCATGGGAGCAAAGTCAGGATGCTGGAACCGCGTGTCCCACAACCGATGCACTGACCCTAACTCTGCTGCCGGAGAAGAAAGTGCTTCAAATTTCATGTGCCACCTCAGCCAAGTCCAGAAGTGCTTATAAAAAACAGTGTTAGTGTATCATTCAGAACAATCAAATACTACGTGCACAAAAAAGCAGTTTAGAGCAACATAAATTTTTAAAAAGTGACAATTTCATCACACAATTACTGTACACTGCTGTTCTTA